AAAAAAAATGTGGATATATGGACCATGTCTGTATGTTTATAATATATGTACATGATGAAGTTTGTGTGATCCAGACACACTGCTGATTTCATAGAAAATTACTGTGCAACTGTTAACCTGGAATTGCTCCACATTCTTCAATATTGATTACCAAATTTGGAATTGAATGCAGCTCTGACCATAATCACCAGAAACTCAAATACAGGAAGATGCTACTTCCCCTGATGCTTTGTTATTTAGTTCCACTGACAGCAGATTAGCCACTAAACCCTTAGGAGAATATTTTCCACTGAGAGTCAGACATGGGAATGTCTTGGCTGTTTTTACAAACAAGCTAACCTGATGGAAGTTTGTTTTTAGTTGAAGTGTTCTATACCACAATCGTTTTAATTGTGTTTACTTATTTGGATACCACTTTGAATTGCTACATTTCAGACACTTTTTTGACAACCTGCAGACATGAATGTCAGGACATTAGGCAGATCCAAGACCTAATTCTTACCATAGGCCTTCAGGTAATCTTGATGAATTCCATAGATGAAAGATGGGTAACTCTTCAGTGAGAAATGCAGAGTCTCGGAATTTGAAGGGCCCTTAATGGTCTCTGGTCCAGTCATACATTGGAAGCGTACATTCCCTCCAATACGTCCCAGTCACGTGAGATCCCACTTTTCAGGGCATCCTCCAAACAGCTTTGGCTAATAAAAAGTCCTTCCTCGACCTAACCCCCATAGTTTCCACCCTGGGCTCCAAGTTCTATTAGGGACAAAAAAGGAAACTCTGCCCAAACTTATGAGGCTGCAAACTTCTTGAGGGCAGAACCTGTATCCACTACAGCTTCTAGTAACTGGATAAATGGATGCTGAATGGCATTAAAAGCAGGAGTTATTGTTCCTTATTTTGATATATATTGGCTTGTCAGAAAAGTCATGACGTATTTTTCCATGTTTTTCATTGCAAAAATGCATCATGACTTTTCTGACAACCCAGAATCTTACAGAATAGAAAATAATCAGTATGTTTAAGTTCTATGGAGAAGACATCATACAGAGGAGCTGATTTTATTGTTTAAATGCTATAGCTGATATATTTTATTCTTTTAATATTCAAGTTCAAGCAATTGTATCTGCTTGTCTTATGTATTGCAGTTTACCTGCATTATAAAATAACATATCTGACATATTTAATGGCACCACAGATCATACCTATTAGACATCACATGTGCATGACCCAGTGTCTGAAACACAAGCACAGAGAAGCTGAAACCCCCCTGAAGGAGGCATTAGAAGTTCCGGGTTCCAGCCCCAGCGCCGCCACCTTCCGAGTGATCCTGGCTCTTGGTTCCTCTTTTGAAAAATGCAAGAATTGAATCAAACGTTCTCTTAAACTTCCTTCTAGCTTCACAAATTATTTGAATTTTTGACTTGCACGCCACACATGGTAGAGTATCCCAAAGACAAAGAACATAGTCCTCTGATTTCCAGTTCAGTTCTCAATATGTATTGCCAAGAACTACCCATATGTACACTGTTTAAAGCAAGGGGTGCTCCCCCCACCCCACCCCCTTTTTCTCATTTCAGAAAACTTTTCTTCAGGAAACAGTGCGTAGAGAGTGTGAAGAACGCTTTGAACTGACGGAGGCTTTGAGTCAAGCCAGAGAACAGCTCCTGGAGCTCCAGAAGCTCAGTGGAAGTTTCCAGTTGTCACCGTGTTCCTTCAGCCAGGGCAGCCTAACCTCCCCTGCTGCTGCGGTCACTCATCACAGAGAGAGAAGCCTTTTGAGACTGAACCCTGACAAGGGAATCAAGATCCCCAGCCTGCACGGAGTGTCCAAACCCACGACTTCCCCCGCCTCAGCTCAGCCCAAGAGGGTCCGCAGCTCAGCCTTGCCCAATCTCCCCCAGCCACGTCCTCCCAAGGGCCGGGCATCTTCGGTAAGTGAGACCAGACAAAGGCTGGCCGCCCTTCTGCGGAGGAGACCAAGTCCGCAGTGACTGATCCCGAATTGGGAGCAGCTCCACACAGAGTGCCTGCTCTTTGCCACAGTGCCGGAGCCTCACTGCAACTGGGGATGACAGAGGTCAAATGAGCATCACAGACTAACAATGCATGTCCGTAGATATCTGTAACAAGAGAATTGAAAACGCTAGGAAATTGTGAAGCCACATTTTCCAATAGGCCTATGACATGGCAACAGATAATGAAGCCATTGGTATCCCAGAAGGCTAATTTCTACGTACTGTATGTTTAGACATGCTCTATGAACATGCCCCTTTAGAGATCATAGGTAAATTGTTCACCCACAGCATCTTTTCTGTTTCTTTCTTTCT